TTTTTGTAGTTATAGGCAAAAAATTATTAACGGTAAATACCTAAACAACGATTTTGATTGCGGTTATTCTACCAGGATGTTTTGAAACCTTATTTTTGTGAAACAGTTTCTAAAAAATAATAATTTTTGTATCAAACACGTCATCAAAGATTTTTTTGTATGCTGATAAATAAGTTATTTTTTCATTCTACAATATTTTCAGTATGTTTTATAAAAGATTTCGAGTGACTTTTTCTTATCGCTGATGGAGAATGTCCTTTTTTAACGTTTAAACTTTAACCTTAACCAGTTCAAACCAGCAAAAATATATATTCAGCCAATTAGGCTCTTCATCAGAGAAATAAGATTTATTGTGCACGATAATAAAAGTTAAATAATTCAATTGTTATTGTATTCAACTTTCGGTTGTTGATGCTTATATTATTTAACCAATTAAATACACGTGCCTTGCATTTTTATTTTTCATTCACTTCAAAATAAAGCGATATAATTTTTCAATGTCTTTCATAAGTATATCCGTAATAGTTCAGACAGTAATTTTGTTTGTATTTTTTGATATTACAAAGTGTGTTTAAGAAATTTTTTCATATTAAAAACTATTTTCATTAATTAATACCTAATGTATAAATGTAATTCAATTTTCAAAGTTAAAATTGCAAGTATTTTTGTAGATTCTAACAACACTGAGTATAAGAACGATTTCTTAGTAAAAAAGCAGTTTTTCTTCATAAAAATTAGGCTATTCTTTTACTTTAGGAATCGATAGAAAAAGAAGCCGTAAAGTTCGGTCAAGTATTGCGATCTGTAACATGTCTGTACCGAATGACTAGGAGGCAAAAAAGGCTAGATGAAAATAGCATTGAAAAAAACACAAGTCATTTATAGAAAAAAAAACTTGTTTTTTGCAACGTACGTGATATATCTTACTAATTTTGTCGGGAAAACTCGAAGCTGGTAAACTCCTCGATTGTAAACAGAATTTATTATGGCTTTTTCTATGGTTCATTTAATTAACATTACAAAATTCTATCAATGTTTGAAGGTACTTTATTATGCCAGTTATATAAAATATATTTATGATTTTACGTATTTATCATTGTCTTAAACCAGGGGTTGGCATACCGCGGCTCGCAAACTACATGTACCAACAAGTTTTTTATGAACTTAATAAAGAACAAGCTAAGAAGCTAAATAACTAATCAACATTTACAGTCAAGTTTTAAACAATCATGTTCCTGACTTTCTAGAGAAATGTAGGGTCACCATTCGCATTGATTTTTAACATAATAATAAGTAATATAAATAGTAATGAATAAATTAGTATTTTATTTAATTACCATTTCTTTATTTGAAACAAATTTGAAATGAAATGTAAAATGCGAATTAAAAATTCGTGGCCTTTTGAAATTCATGAAACAATATTTTTATTGCGAATGACTTTCAGCTTAAAAGTTTGCCGACCCCTGCCTTAAAATTATTGTTCAATTACGTTTGCCGATACGTATTTTGCTACATATACACGTTTCTGTTTTTTCACCTAAATTGTGTTAAATATCGATTATAAAATTGTTATCAATCGATAACAATTTCAAGTTATTACATTATTCATTACATCACTATTTCTAATACCTACATCGAAATCGAAAGTCTAATCGTAAGTGAAATCGTAAGTCAATTTTACGAAACCGTTTTTCGGGTTAAGAGATTTGATTTTTTCGTTTTTCAGGAATGGATAATTAAAATTGAGAATGTATTGATTGAAACCGTTACTTATATTATTTTTCTTAAAAATATACTCGATCAACGGCGCGTCGGCAGTTTTGACGTATGAGTGAAATTCGATAACTGAAAATAATTTTGAGAAAAAAATTTCATTTTATTTTTAACTGTTAGCAAAGTAACCAAT